TCCTCGGTGACCACCGTGGCAGTCAACCTGTTAACCAGGGCGGAATCCTCTGACTCTAAAAGTCTAACGAGAATCGATGCATTTTTTTTCCGTCGATGGAGAATACGAGTACCGGACGATCGATCGATCTCCGGAGCGGAAAGTTTACCGGCAAACCAGAAGTGGATTAAAGCAATTTTCTGTTGCTCCGAGGTGACGACAGTTCTCTTGACACCCGCGAACTTCCCGCCTACACGGTTCAAGGGAAAATTGTGGAAGTTTGGAATTGGAAGTTGAATTAGATTTAACTTTGAAAAGCCCATCCCGCTACGTCGGGCGAGTCACCGCCCGGTAAAATACCCGAAAGTGACAATTTCCTCTTTTGCGGGTCGCGAGCTATGGAAAAACTGGAACTAGCCTTCGTATTGTTGCCTCGCCCGTGTTTCCGACAACTATGTTTCTCTAAACGCAAGTATCATACGTTACCTTTATAACACGGATTAATTGTCGATCAATGTAAACGGTCAGAGGTTTTAATCGATGCAGATTCGATCGTGGATGTTCGATCATTCACGAGTAGTATTAGGACTAATATACTGTATTAATGCTATAGCAGAGATCCGTACCAGACAAAGAATTAATCGTGACATCGTGAAATTCCACGGTATTCTACATGCACGAGAGGAAGGATCGAACGACCAGAGCTCCCACGGAGGGACACGCGAGGGATAATTAAAAGGCACGAGGGATGGCAATAATTGCGTGGTCGCCGATAAACACGTATCCTTATCCGTTGGTGGTGTGACGTTCTCGCGTCGTAAAAAATCGTAGCGTGTCTAATGAACACTGCGGGGCGCCACGCGAAAAATGGGGACAAAACTGGGCCAACTAGAGGAAACATAGTGGAGGGCAACGAACGCGTTCGTGCGGGAAACGAAGAAGATGAAGAAGAAAAAGAATCGAGCGAAGGAAAAGAAGAGGGCTGGTCGCGCGGCCGTGTAAGAACTGGCCGTCGTGGGGAGGGTGGAAGAGGGGCGAAAACGATAAACTTTCACCCTTGACGTTCAGAAGGGTGCAAAATCGTCGGGCTAGAGAGAGCACGAAGGCAGGGATTGGTTCGTTAATGTTATCGGTCGGTCGCGTGATACGAAACATAAAGCATCCATGGTGGCCCTTCTTGAGTTTCGTTTCTCGTTCTGCCGGACCTAAAATTTATGGCGGGCCTCTGATCCTGTCGCGTGAGCGAAAAAGAACTTGGGGGAGGAAAACCGTGCGGTCTACGCGTGATACACGCCTGTGTGTCCCTGGTTATTTCGTGTTCTCTTCTGGAAAACCGTCTCGCGCGCACACACGCGAATCCAGCAGTTCTCTTTTCGCGATGGAACAGAGGGCGGGGTTCCTTTCTTTTCTTCGATAATGTTCCACGCGAAACGGTGTTCAATGTCTCGCGCTGGATCGACAACAGGAAACGTGGGAAACGAATACGGTAAACGCACCCGTGAATAAATACTTAAGAAATAAAGTTTTCGTTCGTATTAAATACTACTTACACATAATACTACTTAATATAAAGGCACCGTTACGAGTGATACTTTAGTTTAGATTAAAATGTGCGGGACGTATCACGAAATCCCAATACACAAATATGTCGTGACGTTCCCTACCTCGCATCGGCTGTCCCCGTACGGACAGGATGCCCTAGTGGGACCGGTTGCCCATCACTGTTCTAGGAGGATGAAATATTTCCGAATCTTGCGAAGAATTATCGTATCTACTTCATCTGGGTATACCGAGAGCGTTTTCACGATTCACCGGAAATTCGATGGTTCTCCCCCGAAAAGAGGGGTGGTTCAAGAGAAGGTGGCAGCGAGAGCAACCTGAAAACCTGGCGCACGGTTGTATATATGTATACTTTGTGCATTTTTTATGAACTGGTTTGCCCAGGGATGGTGGGTCCGGGGGTGTAAGGTCTTTACGGGTAGGCACATTAACACTTCATGGGTTTCCTCGGGTCCCTCCGAAAGAGGTGTTTTCCGCGTGGCGGCCGTAGACCCTTGGACCGAAATCCCACCCGTCCAACCCACCTCCTGGATCGCTCTCCTGTGCCTTGTATATTAATTATTTCGAGCGGAAAAGGGTAGAGCGAAGCACGGCGAGCGTGCTCTTCCCCCGAGGGAGTAAACCCGGGGTATACGAGTAGAAGAATTACGTCGAGGCAGTTGGATCCGCGTACCACCTCGACGCTGTGACCCAGATTTTAAACACACACCGTTAATATTCATCGTTAATCTTATTATTAATTAATATCGCCGCCGCTCCGTAGTCGTGCATGTAATCGCCGAATCTTTGAAAGCTAAATTGAAAATAAAGAAAATGTAGCGTCCGCATTGGGAACATATGGTTTACAACGAAGATCCCGGTCTCCTTTCGAAACTAGATCGAATTCGTTTCTTTTCACCGACATGAACGTAAACTTTCGCCACGCGTTATTCACCCGATGTCGTTTTCCAACGATCGGAGGCAAACAAGGATGAAACGCTTTCTTTCGTCGCGGTCCGTTCGGAGGTAACGTCCGTGAACGGGGGCGAAACGAGCCAACAGGCGTCTTTGATCTTCCGGTGAGCCACTCTGACTTCCGCTGAAAGATTCACGAGGCAACGTTCTCTCTGTTAAGCTATTCATGGTGCCGAAGCGTATTCACGAACCGAGAATCCTCCACCGCCCGCTGCCTCCGCGGTCCAGAGACACCGGTGTGTGGCCCCTGAACGAAGGGCCACACGATTTTCATAAGCCTTTATTGCCAGACCAGACCGCTCTGTTGTCGTTACCAAATCGCAAGGGGGAAGAAAGAGAATGGCGCTTAACCACTGACGACAGTTTGAGAGATCCTTCTGGCATCCCGTTCGCGGCTAATGTACCATTCCTCGCCCCCTTCCAGCTCGAGGACCAAGAGAGGTCCCTTTTCTTCTCGACTTCCACCGAGGGAAATCGCGCCTACGTGTAACAAGCAACAGTTTCTGCGTCTTTCCTCCAATATACCACACACCACACTCGCACCACCCCCCGCCCCTCAATTCTTTTCATACGTTCTACCGGTTTCTTTTTTTTTCTTTCGCTCCCTCTCGACGCCAGATGCTACTAACTGCGCCCTCCGCTGATGAGATCCTCGTGTACTCCACCCTCTGTTTCTCCACCCTGGATCGCCTACGTTCCACTCTCAGCCGTCTTCTTCGCAAAGAAGGGCGGAATTCCGAAACACGCGGACTCCTCGACCCCCTTCACAGACCAGCACGTTCAACGTCAAGTTAGTTTCCATTAATTCGACTACAAAGACAGCCAGATCACGGAGCAATTTTCGTTAAAAATCGCATATCAGACGGACGTACATAATATACATACATATAGTATGAGAGTCCAAACGAACCCACATACGCATCAAAACCATTCGCCTTTGAACGCTTAAACAAGTCTTGTATACCATACAATGTGGAAAATTACTCGAAGAACGTCCATACAGTCCCAGAAAATTCCCAGAAGGTGGTGACTCGTTGGAGGTAATAAGAAGAAGAACACCGATACGCGACACCGCGGCTGTGATTTAAGTCTCCTCGGAATTAGCGGGTCGGCCCATTAAGCCTGGGCAACCGCTCGTTGACTCTTTCCACCTCGATCCAGCGGAGAACCGGCTTAAAAGTATCCCCGTGGTTGACCCCCGGGGGACAGTATGAATTGCTCTTAAAGCCAAGCCTCGACCCGTATATTAACCTCCGTTTTAATTAATCACCAAGTGGCGGCCTGCGCGGGCGCGCGCGTGTTACGCACCAACGAAGTCGCTGGTGAAACGCCTGTGTGCGCGAATTCGCGCGACCGTTATTGCCCCCGGCCCGGAATTCCGTCACTCACACCACCACCACCACCACCACCACCGGTAGTCGGCCTTTCGGCGGAAATTTATTCCGCGTCGAAACTGTTTATGCAATAAGGGCCCTGGCCGTCCGATCAAATAACGAGAGTATTTATCGCGCCACGGGCCACTGTTAACGAGGGAACGATTCATCGTTCGGTGGTAATTGACACGACGAAACGCGCGGCCGATTGCTGGTCCGTCCATCCACGCCCAAACGGAGAGAAACCGTAATGTTGGATGTAACGCGCCGTTATTTCTGCACGATTGGTTCGCGGTTTGTGGATTTGCCTCGTGTCTGGACTGCTGGTGGAGGCCATTTAATAGGAGTATTGGGTATTTACCATTTTCGCGCGACCAACATGGTTTGGCACAGAGGATTAGATCTTATTGAATGGTATGGGATAAAGTTTTAACCCTTTTTTCCACGCTATCGATGTCCCGATTCAATCAGAATCTAATCGTCGGTATAAAGTTCACGGTTTAGGCACTTGTTAATCCCCAGCTCGAGAATCTGAGGAGGGCGGTTAATCCTCGCCACTCCATTTGCGTATTAATTCCCTCAGCTTTCCACAATCTTTGACGGATCAAGGGGGCTTCGAGGAGCCGCTTAAGTCCGATGGGACGTATCCATTAAACTCTTGTCAGCCGTAGCCGCTACGTGTGTCGGCTGTATGGACTTAACCAGGTTTGATGAAACTTTTCTTCCACCGTATACTCGAAGGAAAATTAGACGACGTGAAAGTAGTCCCCCTTCTCTGCCCTCGAATGCTTCTCCGATACGGGGTACCGGCTGGCTCCGAACCACCCCCCGGCGGGGGCTACTGTTCAACCAGGAGAGAGCTGATTCCCATTACGATCTACTTGTTTATTATTGGCGAACAGCGCCAGCTTTTCGACGGACCTTTTCATGGTCCCACGTTAGTGTATCAGAGATGGAAAAATTCGTTATCTAGATAAAAAGTTTCGAATACCACTTAATACATACTATTCCAATTACGTATAAAATATTTTTTATGTTTTCAAGATTAAAACAGATATTCAGGTGGGTCACGCTTAAAATGAGAGAGACAGCCTGTATAATGTTCGATAAACGATTCTGTTTTTTTCTTTCCAGCTGTCGGAGCTCGAGCAGCGGGTGTTAGAAGCGGAGGGGCGAGCCGACGAGGCGGAGGACAAGGTGAGAATAAATTATTATTGTATAATCGCGTGTGTGTCATTACGATCGAACTGCCTCCGCTACATTTCGTAACACATCGCGGGATTTTCTATTCACGATCGAACTGGTCTCCCTATCAACGCGAGACCGTACTAGTTTATTTCTCCGTTAAACTGTTCTCGATAGATTATTACACACTCATTCGAAAGAAGATCGAAACGCCGGTAAAAGAGTTGGATCGCGACGACAGCGTTTGTTGCTCTTCTAGATCGTTGGGCTCGATTCTCGGTCTAAGCAATTACGGCCGACTGCTCAATTAACGGGACACCGGGTGTCGTTGGTTAACGCTCGGCCCAACTGGCCCGAAGACATCAAGGATAAATAATTAATTTAGCAACTGGTAACGACGTTTCTCGCGAGAGACCTTCGATCCGCTTTAATGACTCGCTCGACGACCGTACGTACGCTGCTACTGCTTGCTGCTCCCTGGGTGTCCCATTAAATCGTCTTTCATCGTGGCGCTCTCGTTCCCTGCTTTCTCCAGTAGGGAACTCGAAAAGGCGCATTCGTAATTCAGTGTGTTCGCAATTAAAACGTCGATTCATGACCACCGACGTTCGCGTTTATTTAGTGGATCTCGTATAACGATTACACCGTTCCGATCCAATACGCACAACACGTTTAACAAGTGGGTACCTGATTTCTCGAGTTAAATCAACGGTTTAATATCTTTTAAAACAACGGAGACATGTAATTCAGTTGCGACTGGTGGGAAAGTCGCGCGGGTAATTGGTGCTCGTTAATTGATCAGTTCCTAGAAATTTGGCCCTCTACAGCCCCGAGATGATCAATTATCGAGAGTCTAATGTACACCAGTAAAATTAAGCGAACTGTATCCTCCGTCGAGCTGTTCATCGATTTTTCTCCCCATCCACCCTACCTTTATCCACCCTTTACCGACGGATACCCTGTTCTCCACGCACGATACACCCCTGAATTTTCGGGATGTACCGGCCGCGGGCACTGTCTTGCAATTTCTTGTTCATTAATCCCTTACCTTGTAATGTCATGTCAGACTCGAGACGATTTTAAACAGGATTCAAGAAACATGAAGATTTTTCGTTCTCTCTGAATCGAAGTGAAACACATGAAAACAGTTCAATGATCCTCCAGGACGAGGTTACCCAGCTGGTAAAGGACCTTTCAAAGAGAACTCCCGTCGGTACACACGGTCGCGGGATGTCAGAGCGCATGTTGCGTCCGCATTGATTTTCGCTTCGGGTGCGAGAAAGATGGGTCATCGAGTATCGGAGAAAGACGACCAGGGGCTGGTAGCACCCGAGAGGAGAGAACGAGAGAAAGAGAGGAACGACCAATATGGCCGAACGACCGGCCGGCAGGACCGTCGTTTTGTTATGACCTCGAAAATTCGGTGCTAAAGTCGCGTCGGGGCGTTCGTGAACCACGTGCATCGCGTGTGCGGGTGGTGATCGTTGACACACCCGTCATCGCGAGAGATCCACTTCCTCGATCCTCGTGGCCCACGATCGCGAGAGAATCGCTCCGGACTCACCACCACCGTCAACGTTCGGAACCAATGCGACCTAAGAATTATGGATCCCCGCAGGTGACATCGATGAAAGGTAAACCGAATTCGGTACCCCGATTCCTTCCAATTTCATATCTCGTTCTAGACGCATAAACGATCAATTTCTTCCTAATATGAACTCCATGAGATCTTTTGCTTTGGGATCATGTCCCGAGGCTTCGTGAACTCTCGGACCTCCTCAAGTGAGATGCTCCTGTCGTTGTCTTTTACTCGAAAAAAGATAGGCAATATTACAACTGTTAGCACTCCATTGGGTCTCTCTAGTTACCCTTTTCTTCTAATTTATCGAATCATTCTGCAGAAACTGAAAATTACTCCATTCTGCACGAATTGAAAATTACGAGCCGATTTGACCGACGAGCCGACGGTCTTCGTCGTCACGAGGAAAAACAAGGAGGACGAGTTTTACCGGAGCGACTTAACGATTCGCTTTGACGGGACGTATCGCGTTATAGAATTGGCGTGTGGCCAATTCCATGAGTAATCTCGGTTTCCCGTGAGCACCCGCGCAACAAACAAAATAAAGGTACAGCGCAGACGTGTTCCTTCTTCGCTGCCCCGCCGCGACCCCGTGGAGTTCCTTTAAATATTTCAAAGCGGGAACCGCTCCCGTGTTGCTCTTTCGCGGTCGCCTCCGCGACCTCTCGGAAACCGTCTTTTTAAAAATCGATCACTTTTCCGACGGTTTTCACAAGCCGACGACCCTCTTACGACTTACAACGGGATTTCCTATCAGTGTCCAACGTATGGGTCAGACGTGCTTAGTCTGGCACGTTAAGTGCCACAGTGGAAAAGTCCGTACGTAGCCAGACACGCTTTATTCCGTTTCTTACATGTCGTAATAATCGAAACTATATTCGTTTAGTTAGCCTTTTAATTCCCAGATTATTTAAAAATTACCAAAGAAATAGTTTCTTATATTTTTCTCTACACTTACGTAACATATACATGATTCGCAAGAACATTTTAACATTTTGAAATCGTGTAATGCTTTTTTTACTTTTATCACAGTTATGTACATATAATGATTCCTAAATAATTAAAAGAAATTAGAGTTTACCATCTACACAAGACTAGAAGAAACTATTATGTACTCACAGATATAAAAACATACATGACAGTATATACACTTTCTTCGCCTTCGATGTAGAGGAATTCGGAGCAAAAAATCGAATAATTTCGGAACCGACTCTGCGGATAGAAAACTCGTTGAATTTCCACCGAAGAAGATAGTTCCGTTCTCCTTATGATCGATAGTTCGTGACGTGCCGCGCGAACGAAGGTGGATTTCAGCGAAAGAAAAACGAGCTTCACGCGTATGAATCCTTATGAACGACTCATTGCAATCTAATTTCGTACTTCTCCGATCGTAAACGTCCACGACGAACCACGGCGCAATTTGTTGATCCGCTTCTCACGCGGTACGTCGTCGGTCGTTGATCCATTTAGCTCGACCGCAGCCTCGTGGTTGTTCGTTGTTTTTTTTTCTCTCTCTTTTTCTCTTCGTGGTCGCCTCTCATTCCCCTCCCAACCCCCTAAAGAACGCTGTTGAATGGATGTTTCTGTATGTACCGTGTCTGCATATTAACGTGTGGGCCGGTTTTGGCGGGAAGCCAGCGGCAGATTCGACCGTCGAATACGAGGGACCGGTTTCTTTGTCGCGTGCACGCGCACGTGCGTCGAAAAAGATAAAGGAACCGGCTATGCTCTTCGCGCAACCCCCGTTCCACCCAATCGTGAACTCTGGTTCCATATTTTTTGCCGTTAGTGACGCGTCACCCAAGAGAATCAACCTTCAAGCCTGCACCGCCGTTATACGTATACGCAAACCGAATCGATGAATCTCAAGACGCGGTTCAAAAATTTCTGAACTGAGTTCGATTGAACTATCTGGGGGTCATCGTCCTTGAGTGAAAAACAGCATCATCAAGACGCTACGTTCATCCCTCGGAAACATCATCCCCACCTAGAATTCTCGTCAGTCTCTTCTTCGTCTTCTTCTTCTTCCGAGTAACGTGTCGGTGTTGAGCGCAGGCTTAAAGGAACAAACGTGGAGCAGATCGATGACTCCAAACTGACTAGAAGGTGTATTCTTTCCTCCAGCCGGCGTGATCTTCCTCGCGTTTTCATCGGTTTTCCCACCACCCCCTCGACGTGCAAGGTTCTTAAACGGATTAACAGAGAAAAGGGGTGGGCTCGTACATCGCGACGACGCACGGTTCACCGGCTGTCGGGCCCCGATCGGCTCCCCGTCGTTGGTGTTGTGTCGCGTCGTGTTGTGTGTGTACACGAACCCGCAGGACCTCTACGAATTCTACCATTGGCCGCGAGCCAACGCGTGTGGTGACTCATCGCCCCTAGGAAAGGCCGCCGACGCCGACGAGCTTACGTGCATCGGTTCCCGTTCAGTTGGATTCGATCTTCGACGTCGTACGCAACTAGCTTCCTTATCCACGTGGCCACCGTCTGCGAACAAGGGTGAAATCTCGAGATATCCATTTGCTAATCGTCGAGACCTTTTGGGAGTGTCCTTGAGTGATTCGTGGGAGGAAAGTTCTCCAGGAAGAGGAGCCACGCGGCACGAGAACGGTTTAACGAGATACTACGGAAAAAGGACGGATCGGGCTATCATGGCCACTCGTAGCCACGGTAAGCCTCGGGAGGAACCTAGATCCTCGTAAAAATTGGAGATCGACGTGACATGTACACACACGGTTTCTCGTCAGGTGTAGAAACCAATGGTGCTCCTCGTGCTCTCAGAGTCAGAGGGGGTGGCGATGGCCGCCCCCGTAGGGGTTGTTGCACGTGCTCCGCCTGAATTCGTTGTGACGTTATTGGGTGAGAGGATCGACGGTATGTGTGTGATTTGAAACGTCCTGAATCGAGAGAAAATTGTGAACGATCACCGTTCGAGACACTTAGGTACCTCGGAGGTACGAAAGTGATCGATATAAAGAGCAGCAAGCACATGCAGGGAATCCGAGGGGCCGGGAGAAAAACACTCGGCCAGAAGATTTCCCCGTTGGCGTGTATTGATTTTCTCGATACTGCTTTCTCTCCCCTTTTGGTGGTAGGACTAAGCTCGAGAGGCGTACACAGCAGCGCTTACGTATACATACATATCTAGTTGTAATACGTGTGTGTATGTGTACCCCGTGTGTGTCGCGTGAACGAGATATCGATTTTTGACAGCTGCTACGAAACGAGGCACCCTACACAAGGCCCTCGCCTCGTCATCGTGTGTCAGGGAAAAAGGGGTGCACACACGAGGTCCACGCACGCAATGTGAACGCAACACCAACGGACACGCGGTGTTTCGGGCCCCATTACGCTTTTTCGTCATCGTCTGTTTACCCACAAACGGTCCCACGCCGCACATACCTACTTCTTGAATTCTATATACGTATATTACGTCCTGGAGACCAAAAGTAGCTTGTGGCGTTCAGATGATCCATAGAAAATCGCTGAAAATGTTCGATTCTGATTCGATTCTTCGATAGGTTGATTCTCTTAGGTAACGCGTTACTGGCATGTATAACTTATACACTAACGACCAAAAGTACGGGATCCAAATTCATGATTGATGCAACGGTAACTCATTATTCTGTTACGATGAAATAAAAGTCACGGAATCGGTACATGTATAGACACTGCGTGGGATAATAATTATAAAACCACTCTACAAATTTTCAATTCTTACGTATTGTGGTTAAAAGAAAAACGAACCAAATGCGCCATGTCTGAAATCGTGTTGAAAAATAATGTTTCTCCAGGAGAGGCATATACATCTATTCTCTAGACTCTAGAGAAAAAAGTTATTCGTTTTTGTTTTAACCGTAATACGTAAGGATTGAAATTTTTCAGGGTGGTTCTATAGTTTTGTTAACTCGTTGTAGAATAATATTTTCCCCTTTCTTTAATTATCAGACCTGGTCCCATAGTTTTGCCCGTTCGTGTATGTGTTATACATGGCAGTGACGTGTTACCCACGAGAATCGACCTTCCGAAGAATCGAATCGGAATCGGAACGTTCCTAACTTTAGGAGATCCGAAGCCAGAGCTCATACTACTATATGTATATGTACCATCGTGGAGTTATTTTCGACGTTGCTTGTTCGTGACGTGAACACATATCTCTCGGTCGAGGATCACCCACTGATGTGTTTTTTTCTTTCTGCAGGTACGGATGATGGAGGAGCGGCTAGTGAAGGGTGAATACTGCTTGAGCACATCCGGCGTTGGTTCTCCACCGCATTCGCTGCCGTCTACTTCCGGTACGCAGAATGATAAGATCGAGGATGTCCATTGCGCCTGTATATCGAAGCTAGAGACACAAGTCGAGGAACAGGTGAGGGACAAAAATGTGTTTTACGTTTCACGATACAAAGTCCTATCCAAATCTCCTTTGTCATTGGTCCAGGCGATCCGAATAACGTTATTAGGTTCTTTAAACACCTGTGAATCACCATTCGGCGATATCTGACGCGCGTCGCGGAAAGTTTGAACTTCAACAACACTTCAACGGTATTGGAGAGATAACAGAGAACACGGCATAGCGGCTGATTAGCAATTGCTTGCAGAGGCAGCTACGGCTTCAAGACGCGCGGCAGGTCGAGGCGAAAGCCGCCAGGATAAAGGAATGGGTCACCAATAAGCTGAGGGAGCTGGAACAGCAGAACCAACATCTGCGGGAACAGAACAACAAGTGCAACCAGCAATTGGAACTCCTCAGGAATCATATAACGAACATCGGGCTAAAACCACCTGTGAGTTTTCCCACATTAGCCCCCCCCCCCTTCCGAGCACAGCTGACGTGTCTTTCTGCGCTTCGTTGATTCTTGAAATACTGTCGCAGGGAACGTTGTAAAATTACTACATTCTTCCGTGTTCGTGTAAAAGATTGTAAAGTGTCAAGTTCGGTAGATTAAAATTATTTAGGCAAAAATATCGTAAGTCTATCCAAATTTTATGAATACGACGATTACTCCGTATTTTTCTTTTGTGGTCGTTTTTTATTTTTCAATTCCATTAATCTGCTTATACTGTAACTTATTTTCTATAAAATTAAATAAAGTAATTATATTTCATATTTTCACGTTTATCAGAAATAGCATTTTATTATACATATACGAATTGTATATACACATTTATATAACTTGTATGTTACAACAAAACAGTGTAATACACAGAGAATATTATTAATAGATTTATATCGTGAAAATAAAACAAGGAAAATACGGCTAATAAGAAGAATTAGTTGTAGAACTTTAAACGAGACAATACCTCGAATGTAAAAGCATATCTGACACGCGACCGGTTTTCCTAAAAACCACAGATATACGTGAGTGTATCTGTATTGCCGATAGATTGCGATTCATGATTAAGAGAACAGCCGGCTGAAATGTTTAACAATGGAATTCCAGGCACCCACGAGAGCATCGCTGTCCCTGGAGGTGGATCCCACGTTACGCAGACGATCGGAGAGCCTCGAGGGAACGCCGCAGACGGTGCCCGAAAGCGTGCAAAGCGCCGTCGCGGAACCGCAAGCCGGCACCAAACATCGAAGACACCTGTCCGCTTGCGGGACCATACAGAGGGGGATCGTGACCACCAACATGGACTCGAGGTAGAAAACCTTGTCTCCGTGAAAACTATTCTTTTCCACCTTTTCCTCCTTCTCGTCGTGCGTCTTTTCTTGCTTTGCTTCCGCGCTTCAACCGCCGCCTTAAGCAGAGCCTGCGTACGTGAACCGTATCGTGTAAAAATACGTTTCGATTCTCCTTGGGAGGTCTCACGACGTGACAGCGGCGCCCGACTCTCGATACCGTGGTACCCTGTAACGTCCTGAGACTTCCTGCGGGGATCTGTCAACCCCCGGTGTTTCGTACACCCGTCTCGATTGCCTCTTACATAATTTCATGCGATAACCTATGTGGTCGGATCGAGGTCAATTATTGCTCTCTCGTTCATCGTCGCACCAGTTTTTTCCCTTCTATCGATCCAACGTGTGTCATGAAAGTAGAACTAGGGTGCAGCGGCCTTGGACGGTTGACGTCGATCCGACCATAGAAGTTCCCTCTTTTCTATGTCTCGAATGACTTTCTCGCCTAGCCTGACCGTTGCAGTAAATCATCGATGAGTGTCCCGAAGGCTTCTCTGCACTGAACATTAAATATTTCATGAATTAATGGCCATGTACACGACTGAAACAAATATCCATTAGCTCCAGAATTCCAAGCACTATCGCTGTGCTAAATCTCGTTAAAAAGTCAGCCTTAACGCCTGAGAACCTCTCCTTATCAGTGCCGAAGTAGCCTTCGAACATTTATCGACGATTTACTGTAATTCGAAGCTCTCGCACACCGTTCTCGGTAACACATGCGCCGCCTGCTGGTCGAATTAGTTCCGTGCTCTTTATGCTTGCCCGTTCGTTCCTCTGCCGTAGCCTGCTGTCCGAGGAGCTCGCCGCCGCGGTCGAGAATCTGGTGATGTTGCCGAACATACCCGGTGTCGGGGAGACCAGCCGTGACAGCGACAGTTCCGAGGCTGTCCACGACTACGCGGAGATCTACACGCCCAGCAGGGAAGGGATGAATTGGGCGCAGAACACGCAGGGACCTCGACCGCCTACGCCGCCTCTTCATCGGTTTCCTAGTTGGGAGGCGAAGATATATCAGGTGCGCACCAACCGATCAGTGTCCCTGGAATATCGCGTAAGAACCAAAAGTCTGATCCTCCAAGACTCTTACCTCTACTGGTCTCCGTTAGAGGCTATCAGACCGTACGCTGTAAGATATAGCTATAAAACTACCCTTAAATTTTCAGATCTTTATGTATAGCGGTTAAAATAAAAACGAACCACTCTTTTTTAGAGAATAAAATCTGTCCTTGTTTTTTTTTTTTTTTTTTGGGAAAAATTTTTTAAAAAAATTTCAGGTTCGTTCTTACTTTGACCACAATACTATAAGAATTGCAAAATTTTAGGGTGGCTTTATAGGTTACGCCACGCAGTATAATAATAATAGTCCGTAAAGAGGTACCTGTTGAGGATCGCTGGTAAATAGAAAACGGATTCGTAACAAATTCGCGGTCCCTCCAAAACGAATAAGTTAGGAAACGAGCCGTACACGCTCACAAAATTGTTGCAATTTGTAAAGAAAGAAACCCGGCGTTCCGTACGCCCCGCCGATTCCGTAGGTTGCCGATGGCGGGCTTGGCATCGGTCCACCGACCAACGAGGAATCCGCGCCTTCCACGATGACCAACACGACCAGCTCGTCGAAACATTCCCAGGCAACAGGACACAACTTAACTGCGCACAATTCCCAAGGCTACTGCGATATTTCGGTTCCGGTCTACGCAACGGTCAAGGGTAAGTATCTGTTTTAAGGCCTGGCCGTCGAGAAACCAACCGTTTATCGTCTTCGAGCTAGAACGTTTAACGATTGCATTTACGTTGCAGGACGAGCCAGTCAGATCAGGTCTATGCCTTTCGGCGACAGTTCCGACGACAGTTCGGACGGCGAGGATCATCCGAATCAAACCGAGACGAACACCAGGATCACCAATAGTTCGTCGGACAACACGGACTCGTCGCTCGGCAGCGGTAGCAGTCCATCGAAGAGCGTGAAAACCACAAGCAGCCTTAGTCCCGCGAAGAGAAGCTCTAGCGGTTCGCCTAGTAAAAGCGTGAAACGCGGTGAGCATTTCGAATACAGTAAATCATCGATGAGTGTTCGAATGCTTCTCGGCGGCACTTGAGTATGCAGATCCGTCGTCTCCACCACTGGGCTACCGAACAGAGCCTCCGAACACTCACGATGATTTACTGTACTTAGCTGGCTAAACGATGTTGTCGAAACCGGTGACGTCGAGAGCTTCCGACGTCTTGACGATTGCCTGTCCTTGCAGATACCTCTCTGGAATCCGGTTTGTCGGAGGACTACGCGATACCACCGGACGCCCTCAGCTCGACCTCTCTCGAGTCTAGCATGCCCAGCCTGCTGATGCGGGTTTCCGGCGAGAGCCCGAAGCGACAGGAGTCATTGGAGAAGACTGGCCACTTGGCGAAACTCGGCGGAAAGCTGAAAACCTGGCGAAAGAGATGGTTCGTGTTGAAAAACGGTGTGCTAACTTACTGGAAGAGCCAGAACGACGTGAACAGGAAACCTCAAGGTCAAATCGTGTTGGACGAAGTGTGCAGGTAATCATAGCCGTGTGGCTAGACACTTTATCCCCGTTTAACGGTACCGGAAGTGTACATACAGATTGATGACGGGACTCTGATTTGCCTCGACAGAATAAACAGAGCAGAGGGCGCTGCCACGTTTGAGATAGCCACGGGGAAAAAGACTTACTATCTAACGGCAGACTGCATCGCGACAATGGAAGACTGGATAAGGGTTCTGCAGAATGTACAGAGGCGGAACGCCACGAAGCTTTTACTCAGCAAAGAGGACAACAAGCCCACGATACAGGGCTGGTTGACGAAGGTGAAGAACGGGCACGCCAAGAAGTGCTGGTGCGTCCTGATTGGAAAAATGTTCCTTTACTTTAAGTGCCCTAACGATACGGTGAGTCTGCTGTTACACTTGTTAGCCTCCGGATCTAATATACACGCAAAATAGAAGTTTTTAAATTGTCTAATTTTTCCTTAGAATCCTATTGGACAAATAAATATGAGAGACGCGAGAGTGGAAGAGGTCGAACACGTGTCCGACAGCGACAGCGAGGAAAGGGACACCGAGTGCCCCCACGAAAGAACAATCGGCATATTTCCGACTCATCAGGGTCCTACATACTTGTTGATGCCTTACAAACAGGACAAAGACAACTGGCTGTACCATTTGACGGTGGTTTCCGGAGGCGGGCCTAGCGCGGGAACTCAGTACGAGCAGCTAGTCCAAAGACTGATGGAAACCGACGGAGACCCTAATTGCGTCCTTTGGAGACACCCTTTGTTGCTCCACACAAAAGAGAACATCACTAGTCCACTGACCAGCTTGACGTCAGAAGTCTTGCAGTCCGAGGCTATCAAGCTCTTCAAGGTTTGCTCGTGTACATTGTATCAGTCGGATTGCCGATTAATGATTTCGTACCACGAAGAAGATTAATAAGGCACATTGTGTGTTGTCCATGATACTCAGGCTTGTCAGCTGTTCATGTCGGTAGCAGTGGAGCAAGCAGGCATAGACTACCACGTGGTACTAGCGCAAAACGCGTTGCAACAATGCTTAGATCAACCTGAATTGCAATCTGAATTCATCTGTGCACTGGTAAAGCAGACAAGTCGTCACACGCAACATCGTTTGGGCGTACAGGTAAAAAAGGCCGCCAGACTTGTGTCGCTGGGTACTGCGCGCGTTGTAAGTCCTGCTTATTGTTTAACAAACACTCTGAACCCTGGTACCATTTTTCACAGCCGACGATCGATACGCACTCTTTAAAGTATAAAAATATATATCGCCTGTTAACTTCGAACATGTACACGTATCTTTCACCTGAACAGGTGCACTGTTCGAAATTTTCAGGTACACATGTGGAATAAACTTGTTTTTGAATACAATCGAATGATCGCGTTCGTTGCTTTCGTGACGAAGAAATGGTACATTGGGTTTACGCTTAGTCAAGTATTATAAAATAATCACACGTCGATGTAGACCGGTGAACTATTTGGTTGTCCTACTCTTTATTTTTCTGTTTCGATGAGACTAACTGTTATTAATAGAACGGCTGTCGTTACGTTCGTCCGTTACGAACCCTATAATACTTGACGAAGTTCTTTAACAACGAGAAAAAAATTTTTTAGTTTTAACATTCATTCACATTTCATTTTCATTTGCTGGCTTTATGTGTGCTCTTCCTAGGCTACTCTGGATCGCATGCGTTTTATACATTTTTTTCGTTGGTTCTCTATTTTTTTAAAACGTCATCGTGTTCAATTTCTTTTGCGTTTCAGTTTTTCTTTTTTTTTTCTGTTTTCATTGCGTATACTTAATATTTATATACATATATACCCGATCACCTTACCCCGATGACCACCCGATCATGTGAGCCGAACATATTTCGACAAATCATTCTTCTTTCACAATCTCGAAAGAAACATACCAGTTTTGTGTGTACATTCATCGATGCCATCGATTCACGCCTGTCTTTCCGACACTGAGAATTTTTCCGATCGAATGAACAGACGAACCAAACGAAAAATAGCGTTTCGCGGATTCAACGTTTGTCAAAATACGTTCTGCGGCACACACACTTGCAGAATGGTATGTTGGTGTACATAAAAAACCACACACAGAAAAACATCTTTTTATATAGATTGGTTTTTTCTTTCTGTTTCCGTACCGTTTTTTTGCTGAATAGCTCATTATAATATTCTCTGTTTGAATGCTGCTTAGACAACTTAGTACTTTTTGATCATACGCCGGTTTCTCTCATTGACGGTCCGCACAAGGAAAATAAAAAGCCAGAATCCTTACAGATTCGAATGTCCGTCGTAGAATGCTGTTTATTACGATTCCTCCGCAAAGGCGAAAAACCAAATAACGGCTGTGTTGTCGTTGGACTCCAGGAAAAATACACGCAGCTTCGAAAAGCGAGCCAAAAAGAAAAAGAGAAACGCGTGTTCGTTTTCGTTCTAGCTGCCTTCGAACGAGAAACGCTTTCGAGCTGTATTTTAGACTTACACGTGGCCTTAAAGAAAGTATTAAAAAAAAAAACACAAAAGAAAGAAAGAAAAAAATAGCAAACAGCGCTTGTCTCATCCACATTGTTCTTAATTCATTCGAATTGTTTACGATCCATGCGTTTTTTTTTATGTGATTAACACACATAGAGAGTGGATGCGTTTAATGGGCCGATTTCGATTGCTTTATATACTAACAGACGTTTATTACGTAACAAATTCACAAGCGTTTCCATAGTCGAGGATATAAAAGTTGTTGTTCGCTCTCGAGCAAGAAAGAGAAAAGGTAAAAGAAAAATTACTTCTCTAAACTTGTATTGGACTCAACGACTCTCTAGAGGTCCGTATGATCTCCTTAAAGTAAATTAAGAAAGAAGCGAATAAATTTGAAGAAAATAATTTCGCGTACGACGGCGTGGGTGGGGGTAATGGCGCGCGATTTACTTAAAGAACCGTAGTAGATTAGGTCTGGTTCAATCCAGGGATATAGTAGTATGCCAGCATACCATTGCAGCAGCTCCTCCTCTGCGCCACGCAATCGCTGTTCACCTGCGATACGCAAAGTCCCGCGGCAAATGGCAGCGGTGAAAATGCGGACGCACAGTCGACGGCCTCCACTTCTCACAGTCCTCCGCTCACGCAGGGCCACTCTACGTCTACGATTCTGGACTGCAAAACTAACCCCGCCCAGTACGTTCTTATCCAGGGATGGCAGCTACTCGCCCTCGCTGTATCGCTCTTCTTGCCCAGGAATAATCGGCTACTCTGGTACCTGAAGTTACACTTGCAGAGAAACGCGGACACCAAGTGAGTCTCCTTTGCACCGTCTCCGTAAAAATTAATCCAAATTATATACATATATACGGTGTAACGCTCAATATGCTATTCTTCGGTCTCCTAGAAATCAATTTAAAGTACTCGCTATAAAGTGGATAAACGGTGCACATGCTAGGTCCGAGTGCGGCAAGTACGCAGCCTACTGTGAAAGAGCTCTGGAAAGGACTCTGCAAAACGGTGGCAGAGAGGTGAAACCCTCGAGAATGGAAGTTCTGTCTATATTGATGAAGAACCCTTACCATCACTCCCTGCCGCACGCGATACCGGTACATTTTTTGAACGGCACGTATCAAGTCGTCAGCTTCGATGGCAGCACAACAATAGAGGAATTTCTGAACACTTTGAACCAAGAGATCGGCTGTCGGGACGCGCATCAGTCCGGTTTCACGTTGTTCAGCGACGACCCAATCGAGAAGGAGCTAGAACACTTTATTGACCTACAAGCGAAGGTATCCAACGAAAAAGTGTCCACCGACCGCGGGCCACGTTTGTACAGACTGATCCATTGATTGTTGTTCTTGTTCCAGCTCTGCGATATTATTTCAAAATGGGAGACCGCGTTGAGGGAGAAACGTTCAGGAAAATTCGAGAACACCAGGGTCATACAGTTGACGTACAAGTCTAGATGCTACTGGCGTCAGGCTGCTAAAATGGAGACTGATAGGGAGAGGCTTTTGTTGTGTTATCAAGTAAATCAACAGGTTGTGCATGGGAAGTTTCCAGTGAATCGTGAGCTTGCGTTCGAGCTAGCTTCCTTAATGGCTCAGGTATTTTGAAACGTTAAAGTCTATAATACTCTACGATACCGGTAAACGAAATCGATGATACATGAAAACGTTACAGATTGATTTTGGAGAATATAACAATGACAAGGCACGGGGGAGTGGCCCGGGAAGCAATCCGCATCACCTGGTTCTCCAGGCTCTGGACAAATTTTATCCCATACGGTATCGGACGAACATCGCTGCCGATCAGTTGAGGCAAGTACATATAAGGAAAATTAAGAAATCGTTATGAGTATATCCTTACACGGTCCTTTCAAGAGCTAATTTACCCCGGTGTAGGGAGCTACAAGACAGGCTGCAAGACAAGTGGATCGCTTTAAAAGGTCGCAGCGTATTAGACTGTGTTCGTATATATCTGACTTGCACCAGAAAGTGGCCTTTCTTTGGAGCTACACTGTATCAAGCGAAGGTACAGAGAGAGAATTATTTTTAAGTGACCCGGAGAGAGAAATATCGATTAAAACTATTCTGCTTCGCAGTTGAAACAAGCCGAACCAATGACCGTGTGGATAGCCGTTTCCGAGGACAGCGTGACGTTATTGGAACTGCAAACGATGGCAGTTGTGTGTCGTTACAACTACGCTAATATAGTCACGTTCGGAGGGTGTTTGGATGACTTCATGCTCGTCGCTTGTCCCGACGAAGGCGCTGCTGAACAGAAGCTTTTATTTGCTCTATCGAAACCTAAGGTATAACGTAAGGCAGAGATGCCCAACTGGCGCTCACGATCGAGTATTCCCCTCTGGGGGTACCCCCACACTATGGGGCTCAGTCTGTCCCGCGTCCTCACGCCACGGCTCGAGCGTGTAAGTCTAAAAGCCCCATAGTGGGAATAAATACCTTCGAACGAGAATACTCGCTCGTAAGCGCCAGTTGGACATCTTTGACCTAAAGTAAACATTGGCTGACTGTATATCTCGGACATTAATATATTTATATTACTGCAGATATTGGAAATAACCTTGTTGATCGCCGACTATATGAATGCCTTGGGACACGCTTTACCCGGTACACCACAAATGAACACGTTAACTCGAAACGGGTCTCACAGATCAATTAAGTCCACTCTCAGACCTACCACTGGTTCGTGCAACTACAATATTCTTTTACGCTTTGTAGTTTCTTCTTTCTATTAACGAAACAAATAATCTGATCAGGTTCAAGCTGTCTTCCAACGCAACCGGATATTTTGAAGTCAACGCCGGACCACCAAAGACCTTAGTAAGACTGGTTCGAAATCCGTTTCGGTAAAAGTAGCAGGGAAACGTGCCAGTTGGTTCACGAAAGTCTGATTTTGCCAAGGCTCTAACTTTATACACACGATGGTACTATACTCTTGTATTATAAACATCCGCGTAGGGTAACAACCGCGAACACCGGACTGTAAGTTAATTTTAGTTGCGTTTTATGTAAATTAGAAACGATGCTTGCGAACGAGCGTATAATGTGTAAATATTCGACAGCAAGCGAGACGAATACACAAACACACATGCACACAAAGAGGACTCGGTCGTCCACGTTGCGCGACCGTAAACATGGATGACTGAAATGAATCGAAATAACGATCCGTAAAACACTGCCTAAAAGTAACGTTAGTATGTCTGAAGTTACATCGAATAATCTCGTTTCGGGAAAGCTGAAGCGTCGCGCTGAGACTTTTTGCTACCGTATTTATATACCAAATTCGAAACGTTTAGCGTTAGATGAAACTACGTAAAACAAAGTGGTGTATCACGTACTGTGTATATAATTAATCGGAGTTAATTGGATGTTTAGAAGTCTAGCGAGCGATGCAGCCGATACCTTTGTCTTTGAAGAAAGACTACGTTGAGAAAGAAAGAAAGAGTGAGTGTGAGTGTGTGTGCGTGTGCGTGTGCGTGTGTGTGTAAGAGAAAGAAAGAGAGCGAGAGAGGGATTCTTGATTCTTGCCAAATTGACTTCAGTACGAACAAGAACGCATGCGATCGTTGTTACTTGGAAATCAGTGTGCAATTTTTTTTTAGTGACATTTCTTTTGAACGCAAAACATGTTAGACACAGCAACTGTATTTACTGTCGATATATAGATTTTACGTTTCGATTATGAACTGTACAATACGCGATAGTTGTCTTTTTTTTTCGTAACGGATCCATTATATTTTACGTCTTCGAGGATTTTGTAATCTGAATCGTTGGAACGATAGGTGTTGGACAGTAAGTACGGACAGTATTGAACATAGGTCTCGTTTAAAGCTCAATCGCGTAAGGGTGAACCTTTTTATATGGAAAACGACGAACCGAAGTAACAGAATTGTCATGTTATTTTGATAACAGCTAGTCTCTCATATTTTCTATTTATTTAACGTGTACGCGAATAAGTTCATTTTATATAAGGACACGACCAAATAGATGTAATGGGAACGTAATTTTCTTTGACGGTTAGTATCGTTCCTGCGTAAATGTATGTGCAACACAATTTTGTACTAATCGAAACGGTGTGATCCCGTCAATGACTATAGAAGTTTTGTACGCGCTTGACGTGTCCTACGTAACTAGCAAACGTCTTCCTTCTCTTTAGTAACCAGAAATAAATAAAACAAAGTTGAATGTAGGGCTTTCGTGCAATATGTACAAGACTTCTATATAATTTTTGTAATTCCTGGGATAGGCTGAGTACATGACTGTGCCTCTCTGAGCAGAATAGACAAAGTAAATTTTATGCACGGCTTCGTTTAGCGCATTGAAGAATTTATATAAAAGAAGGAAAAGAAACGATCGAAACCTCAGATTACTGGGAGCAGTACAAAGATATGCAAGAACGACATTTTGTCTTTAATTTTTATAATACACGATTGAAAAGGAAAAAAATGCTATTATTCAGGTGCTTAGCACCTTTGTATCATGATGCCGTAAAGCCACTGATTCTGTAAATATCACAGTTAGGCTTAAGTATCTAAGTATGGTAGAATGAGAGAAGAGAATGGGCAGCTGATGAAATTAACAATCACCGTAGAAATTTCCTGCGATCCTCTTGGGCTGTCCACGGTTATTCTACTGAGCCTACCACCTTATATTTCTATTTATTATTTATTCGCATAAAATGACGCATAAAAAGCACGAGCGGTGTACGGCAGAAAGCATTGTACTATTGTACAGAAGAAGAAATAAATTGCTCGGATCTGCACTTTAAGAGATTATTTATTTACTCTAGATATTAATAGTTTAATTGAAATAATAATTTCATATTTACTTAAAATTGTGTCATTTATTTCACGTCGATTTTTTAAATATATATTTAGACATACATTCAGTCTATTTCTTCTGGTTTCACTGGATGAGTCAACGGTATGACTGATTTTTTCTTCACATCCCTTGAAAGTGCCTTCCTCATATCTGAATTATATACATGAACTATTAATTACAATGATAAAAAATAGAGAAGATACTCTATACACATAAACATTGACTAATTAGATACCAAAAGCATCTTCATCCGGATTTCCATTGTAATATTCTAGAACAGTCCTATACACAATGTATCCCAACTCTTGATACATTTTGATTGCCACTTTATTACTAACTCTGACAAAAAGATCCACAAAATATGCTTGTTTCCTGAAACATAAAGCATCAAATGTATGGAAAGAAATCATTGAACCCCTAAAGTAATGTCAAGTATTTAATTTCATCTAACTTACTTTTCCGAGACCTCTTCTAAAGATTTAATAAGCATTGCAGCCAGACCTAATCTTCTATAACTAGGAGAGACTGTGAGAGCAGTTATGTGACCGTGCCAATTCTCCCTGTATCCTTCTGCCTTTCCCATAACTTTGATAGTTTTTGAACAAAGCAGACATCTAAGTTCTGAGTCTTGTACTCATTCCTGAATTTTGGAGTAAAAGAAGTACAACTTACTGTAACCCATAATTTCTCCGCTTGGTGATTCTGCCACTTGAAAATATTCTGGCCAGTGGGCCAGGTAATGAGTGTAAAAAGACAATCCATACTACAGAAACACGAATTTAAGGAAAATACATGTTCGTAATTGACACAACGTCGAAATATCTTTACATTTATAAGTAAAATAACAAGGATACTGTCTCTGTAAGGGGATCCAAGTTTCTGTTAAAAACAAGAATATATTACTCAGAAAGTTGGTACATTACTGTTTTAAACAACACGCTTACGCCTAGGTTAAGAACGTTGATACTTCGTTTACATAGATACCTCGAAACTTACACATTATTGAATTTAAACAGATCGTTACACGTGAAAGGCCTGAGTGTCGTCATCCTTTGAAAGTTCAAACAAAATTTAAAAAGGGATTACACAGAACAAACAAAACAATACTATTATCCAATATCAATATTCTAAAAATTACATGAATTGACAACGTATACGTTGGCGACCCCGTGTTCTGCGGGACATGGGGTCATAGAACCCCCGATGGAGGCGCCAGAGACCCGTGTGGTGAGAACGAGGGGTCACAAAACCCCACAGGTGGCGCCAGTGATCCTTGTGTGCCTAGGGTGTGGGGTCATAGAGCCCCCGAAGGAGGTACCATGGACCGGGGCGTGGCGAGAGCGGGGGGTCACAGAGCCCCCGGAGGAGACGTCAGAGACTCGTGTGTGATACTACTACAGCCAAAGTTTAAAAGACGTAGGCAGTAGTTAGTTTCTGTAGTAATCTGTTGAACCAAACAACTATAATTAGTATAGGATTGTACAATATTTATGCAGTTATATTTAAGACAATCCGATGAAATGAAGCTTATATTACCTGACGTATGTTTATTGGAATATACATACAAATTATAATGATTCCGGCCAACTATTTTCCGGTGTAATTAAGCGTCCAGAATGATCGTCGTCGGTCTCAAATTATTCCTGACGATTTAATGCGTAAACCCAATACTGCAGAACACCAGAATTAGTACAATTATTTAGGCTACTATTAACGTTGACCCCTTATGGAGTGGCAACCCTAACAACAACAGGTTTGGA